TACCATTGCACCCGGCGCGTGCCCGCCGGCGTTTCCTCGAGGTCGAGAGTGTTCCTTTCCTTCACCATTGCACCCGGCGCGTGCCCGCCGGGGTTTCCTCGAGCTCGAGAGTGCTCATTTCTCACCATTGCACCCGGCGCGTGCCCGCCGGCGTTTCCTCTAGCTCTAGAGTGTCTTATTAAATGTGCGTGTTTTTAGTGTGTGTTTGTGGTGTAGCTATAAGTAGACATTTTGCTTTATATTTTGAAAACACCCCTCATTTTCCCAACTTTTAAGTTGGGAAATTCCTCTCTATTTTCTCTTTTTCCTTTTTATGCTTTGGTTTGGAGCTTTATGGATCATGTTTTCCGGCGAATTTCCGGCGACGTTGTTTCGAGTAAAGTTTCGAGCTTTTGACTCCGTTTCTCTTCCCAAGTGCGTGTAAGAGTGGGTATTTAGTCTTAAGCCCCATTACTTCGTATATCTTTGTTTGCTTTTTGTGAAAATTGATATTGTGCTTGTCTTGATTGGAGGAAAAGATTGAATCTTTAGATCGAGAATGCTTGACTAAGTGTGCTTAGGAGTTGAATGCTTGCTCGTTTTGTGCTAGAGTTTGGTTTAGCTTCCTAGGGTTTTAGCTAGCATGGCAATGTTCGGTTATTTGCGTGTGTTTGAGCATAGAGACTCCGACAAACCAAAATCTCTCTTTCCCCCTTGATTTCTCTTATCTCCTTGCGTGCTTAGTTAATTGCTTTCAACTGCTCTCATTTCGTAGTTTAATCTAGCTTAAATTCAAACCCTCAAATTGCGAGTAGAATGTTTAGGACCTTTTTGGTTGTGTGACTTTGACGACTAGGTAGTGAACGAAGCTCCGAAGAGCCTTCCTTTGAGAACGACCCGAGTCAGGTAGCTCGGTTACCACATGCCCAAAAATACTATAAACAATTTATTCTATAAAAGTTCGTCGAGCACAACTTCAGTGAATATTTGAAGAAAAATATCATGTGAGTTATTATGAAAAAGTTTTTAAAATTCTATCCCAGTATACTCTTAATTTCTGAATTCATCCTTGGGCACATTCACTACATGCGAGCATGAATTCATTAACCGAAACAAGTTTTATTTTTCCTTAGTGAAATGAGCTTAAGACTTCGAATTTGAATGATATGCAAATACAGAAGCGATTTTGTTAGACTCACCGAAAATCAGGGCCATGGACGCATAAACCGTGATGGGTATGTGCTTGCAGATAAAGGGGCCCGTGACTGTAGTGGGCAGGACACACACGAGATCCAGCCCGAGCTCGTCAGCGCAATCAATGGCCGCTTTCTCGGCTAGCGTCTTGGTGACAAAGTATGGCCCCCCGAAAAGCCTTTGCCTCCTTACGAACTCCACATCAGTCCAGGATCTCTCGTCGATCAGGCCCGATGGTCCCGTCTTAGCTCCCACACATGCGGCCGTGATGCTGGAAGTGTATACCACGCGCCTAATGGTCTTGGCATCTGCGCAGGCCTGCAGGATGCCCTGCAGGCCCTTAGTGACTCGTTTGACTTTCACATCCTCGGGTTCTGTCTCCTCGAAATCTAGAGGATGGGCCACGTGGAAAAGCCCAATGCACCCCTTGATGGCGGGCCTAAAGGTCTCGGGCTTGTCGAGGTCCGCATTGAAGATCTGTAGCCTCTCAGATGCGCTGGGGAGGCTCGTCAGGAAGCTGATGTCCCTTTTGCACTCTGGAAAAAAAAAAGAAAATAAAAAAAGATGCGTGACACCATCGTCGACACATTGTAAGAGCATCTTTAACAATTAAACTCCATAAATCTCCTTTTACAATTCCCAACATGTTACATCATTCAAAAACTTATTCTTACTCATACACCCATAAAACCTTCAATAACAATAAACCCCATAAACTTTCATTTTATGGGTCTCACATATTTTCTACTTACTTTCAATTAGTATGATACCCGTGTACTACATGAGTACTTAAATACATTAATATTAATATTTAATAATTTATACAATAAATAAAAAATAAAGTTATTTATATTTTGTCGCGAAATTATGTATAATGAATATTCAACAATAATAAATAATTTACAAAGTGATAATTAATTCAATATTCCGCCTGCATTTTTACAATAAGTTTGTCAAAAATGATATTTTATAATTATATTTTTATATATATATATATATATATATATATATATATATATAATATCTATTATTTACAACTCCGTACACTTGATTCAAAAAATTTTAAACAAATATTTTATATTTATAGAGTCGGCATCTCTCGTTTTTTAATATTTTAAGATTTTAAATTTATATTGTTTAATAATTTAAAATACTAATTTAGGCTGAAATGTACTATTTTATACATTTATGAAACATAACATTATTTTATTATTATTTATTATGACATCCTAATTATATTTATTATTGTAAAAAACATAATAACATTTAGTATATTTTTTAAGTTGAAAATAAAAATATTTTGTTATATTTGTTATAATTTATTTTATGTAGTACTTAATTTTCATACTTTATCCAAAATTTATGGAAAAAACATATTAAATTATTTATTTTATGGTGTATTGATGAATTAGTTTTTATTATTTTTATAAATAATTTATATTGTTATTCGATATTTTATACATTTATTTGATAAAAATTAATTTTGTTCATAAAGATAGATAAAATTATTTTACATATTATATATGTAATATGGATGTCAAATCGAAGATAGTTAAAATATAATTATTTTAATATATCATATATAAAAAATACAATACAAATAAAAAATTTAATAATTTTAAAATATAATAAAGAATACTAGTTCATGATAACTAATATATGAATTAAATAGAAAATGCAAGAGTGCTATATGATAATTAAAAAAAAAGCTAAAATAGTTTAAGGTATTTCTCAAGCCAAATAATCAAAATCAAACTTGTATATTTTTCAATACGAAACACATTTTATGACAAATAAACTTACGAAGCACACAAGTCAGCCACTTAGGCTCGACACATTCGGTAATTATATATAAAGACGATTAATTATACTCTTTTAGTTTTATTAATATTTAAAAATTACAACCCCGTTTTATTTTTTATCAATCTAAATGTTTCATATATTTATCATAAATACGTATAAAAATTTTGTATAATTATATTATATTATTTATAATTATAAAGTGTGGAGTACGTACCAACGTAAAGTTTTACTTAAAAAAATTACGAAACATAGAACTTACGTAATGTTGAAAATTAAAAATTTGAGTTGAACATTGAATGCCAAATTTTTAATAAGGAAACTAATAGAAAAAAAAAATTCCAAACATAAAACATTTTAACAAAATACAAAAAATGTTAATAAGAACTATGAAATATTTTATATTTAAAAAAACAAAAGTTAAAAGATGGTGTCAAGTTGGAGGCAGGGCCAACCTGAGGTTTTTGAGAGGTTTGGGTTTGTAGAACCACTTTGAAACTTCAAACCTCAAACTTGAGGTTTTTAATAATAATCTTAAGAGGATTGTAATTTTGAATCTCCGAAAACCTCTCCACTAAAGATGCCCTAACGGTCTCGACTGAGAATGTTGATTAGAGAATTAAACCTGGATCGATTCTTGAAGTTGTATTGACATGGTAGCCATCTTCAAGAAGCATTTTCACAATCCATGAGCCAATAAAACCTGTTCCACCAGTCACACATACACTCCCTTTCTTGCTATCCATCATCACCTTTGTTAATAATATTCTCTCTTTTTTAAAGGTAATTTTGCTTCTATATATATTATGTGAGAGCAAAAATGTGAAGATATGCATAGGCTTACATATAACCAAATATAGTGAGGCTATTACGAGGTTGGCCTGGCTTTTAGGCAACCACATATTTCCTGTCCATGCGTATATACTTTCAAACTGAAATATCATACTGTAGCAAATACCATCAACACAAATTTGACATTTCATAACATCCTCTTTATATATAATTAATGCAGAACGCGCTAAGTCTAAATGGCAGTTTCGCACACTTTGTAATCTCGTGTGGCAAAATATTATGCTTTGTAATGTGGCTCAAATAAATATTGTTATTTTTTTTATAACAAATATCTTAGATTTGGAATCCAAACCTAAGATATTTGTTATAAAAAAATATCAATTGGATTGCCGTATATGCACACATTTAAATATTTAAACTATTCCATATAAATCTATTTATTATCTTTTTTATATAATGTGCATAATATTTTACTTTTCAAATTTCGTGTTTTGCGTAGTTTTTAACCCCGGCCGGTAAGCGACCCGGGAAAGTCTCGGGTCATCGGGTCACTGGTTCAACCGTCGGATCACTGTGTCAATTGATAAACTGGATAATTAATTTTAAAAATTTTAAAATTATTTATAGAGTATTTTTGTCATATAAATATACATAAAAGTAACAAAATTAAATATTTTGTGTATAAAATTTGTACATTAAAGTGTTAATAATATGTATCTCATGATAATATTTACCATATAAACATATATACATAGTTTGATTTTGAAAAAAAAAATTAAAAAAATATATATGGGTCGGGTCAATGCCTCGGGTCGGCCGGGTCAAGGCCGAGTGGCCAAGTTTTGACCGGGTTTGACCAAGTTCTTTGCTGCCAGTCCAAATAGCCCACCCTGACCGGTTCCGACTTCGGGTTGACCGGGTCCCGGGTCAACCCTCCGGACCGGTTCGGGTCAAAAAACTATAGTGTTTTTTCCATATTATTCTATAATGTATTTTAAATAAAAATATTATAAATAAAACTAATGGCGCATATAAATTATTTTTCAAAATTTAAAGTAATATTGTTAATTCACTTATTTTTCTTTATTATAAATTTTTATATATTGTTTCCTACTTATTTTTTTTTTAACTTCAACAAAATATATAAATATTTTTTTTCTTTCAACAGGTATTGTATATATATATATATATATATATTTATATATATTTGTCAATAAAGTATGTTGAGTCGACCTGGTAAACGGTTAGACCGCGTCACACAACAATGTGTGAGAACCAAATATGGGAGGCCATTCTTGTCTTTTCACTGTGATGAATAAAAATCTCAATCGCTTTCGCATGGGCCTTTGCAGCAATTTGCAAATTTATCCAATTATTGA